GCTTTATAGTTTGTGGGATGTTAACACACAAAGTCAAACCTAATTAGTCACTTAAAGGGCGAAATCAAGAGCAATGAGGGTAGCTCATAGTTTCCTGCTTCAGCCAAATTTTCAACGCAGGACCTTAAAAATCGGAGCATTTTTCCCTTTTTCCATTATGGAAACTGACAGTACAGTCTTATTCCAATGTGCTGCTTTTTTTTTTTTTGAATTGCACACACAAAAACAAAAATGCATGTTTGCAAAGCTGCACGTCAAAACTGTTTCCTGCTCTTAAAACTCATTCATCAAAATCACAGCATGGTCTCTAACAGCAGAACATAGCAAAGCAAAACTACAATAGACAGTCCTCCCTGTCATTTAAATGAGGACAAAGGTTTTTATCCACACAGTAGCAGATAGGAGCTGATGGGTGGTTTGTATGACATGACATGATGGATAAATCTGTGCATAAAAACATAAAACTGTTGCATTAATAGACTATTTACACCTCAGATGCGCTTTGCAGTTGCTCTAACTCCATTTTTTTTGACATCCTGTCAGTAAACTACCTTGTATTTCCCTCCACATATGATATCAGACTGATTATAGTTTTCTTTGTAGGCAACATTATGATTTTTTCATATAAATATTGAGAATGCAGTCGTGTTTCCAAACACATGTACCTGTGGGTTGTACGGCATGTTTTCCACACTGATGTTATTGTGTCTAGCCAGGGGAAGACAAAACCATCAATTACCTACAATTATCCTAGTGTGAGGTTGATGTAGTGGCGTTGTGGTTGTATTGTCTCTGCAGTACATGTTGCAGGTAAACAAGCCTCATCTATTTTGGCAGTTTTAAAAACCCTGAGGTGCTTCAGTTCCAGGTGTCAAAGCAAAATTCAAGTCTTACATGTGACCAACTGTTCTAATAAGGCGTGCTGCTAGTTCTGTTTTGGTTGGCATGTGGGGAATTTAGAGGTGGACAGAATGCCAACCCAAGCATTGCAGAGGAGGAAAAAAAATAGGTTTACACATCTCACCGAGCCACTAAGTCAAGGAATTAGCATGAGAAGTAGTCGGGAGGGTTTTATGAACAGAGATGGTAGTGGGTGTGACACGACAACTGGTAAGGGTTCGTCTGAGGACGGCTGGAGTTCAGGAGCCAAAAAAATGTGCTGTAAAGCTGTCTGTGATTTTATCAAACAAACGGGATGAACGTATAGGTTCTGAAGTAGCGCATGCAAATAATAACACTGAGTGTATGCAAATAATACAACGGCCGACCATCCCCAACGCCGCCACCTGAAAGAAAAGCTATATGTGAAAAGGTCCTGATTCAACAGCATGTTTCACATTAAGAAAAAAAAAGAATTTATTATGAATGCATCGTGTTTATAATTCCAGAGTAGAGACAATCAGTGGCACCAAATACTGTAAGTGCTGCTAAGGAATGGATGGAATGCATCAGCAGTCAGTTTAAGTCACTGAAACTCAGAGAGCGGACCACATGTTATGAAACATTAAAAGCAGTCCCAGTTAGCAAAGAATGTCTGAACGTTGAAAGGGACGGTTGTTTAACAGTATGCAGAGAAAAGATAGAAACAAAAGATCTGGTGTACTCACAAGACAAGTGTCTACACCCCTGTGCAATGTCAATTAAGTGAAGGTGGAATGATTCAGACGTGTCGCCACCTCACAGCATTTCCATTAAGATTTACTGTAGTATTATTAACACAGCTGCATGGTGGCTCAGTGGTTAGCACCGTCGCCTCGCAGCTAGAAGGTCGCAGATTCACATCCCGGTGAGGATACCCGGGATCTTTCTGCGTGGAGTCTCCATGTTCTCCCCGTGCAGTGTGGGTTCTCTGGGTTCTCTGGGTTCCTCCCACAGTCCAGAAAGGTATTTGAGGGTAATTGGTGTGATAGAATGGTTACCTGTCCAGGTGAACCTGCTTTCACCCTGAGTCAGCTGGGATAGACTCCAGTGAGGATTAGAGTTAACGGATGGCTTGATTTTCAATACAAGGTGTGTCCACCTTTATTTTTGACGATAGAGCCAATGATTCAAACCAGATGATGTACTTGAGTTTTTTACTTGTCATCTTGTGTGGAATGTCAATGCTCTGCCAAGCTTCTCAGAGTCATCGTTTCAGTCAGCACTTCGATGTATTTATGGTCGCACCTGCAAACAGTTTTTTTCCAACAGCTTTTGCATTCACACAGCCCTGTGTTATCACAATTCCACCGCCGTGCTTCTCTGTTGGGACTCCTCCTGACCAGGATCACCCCGAACACACTGGGCCCCAGTTTACTTAACTAGAGAATGTGCTCCCCATATTCATCAGGCTTCTTTTATGATCATTAGCAAAGATAACCCAAGCCTAAAGCCCTTCGCCCTTCCCCGACTGTTTTCCAGAGCTAGACTGTACAAGCACAGTGCTGTCCTTGGTGGCGTTTGGGATGAGAGACTTCTCAAAGATACCTCTGGCCAGAGGGCTTCTGTAGCCTCCCAGACTTCAGAAGTTCACACCTGCTGGAAAGAGGATGGGAGCTGTCCACCAAGATTCTCCTGGACTTCTTCTTCGTCCATTCAGTCCATATTTGGATCAGAGACTTTTGGGGTTTAGCCACAGTTTTACTTCCCATCATGACAGTCCTATTTAATTTATTTTTGCACTTTCAGCTTAGGTGACCAAACCAAGCCGAGAGGTGAAATGTTCGGACACTCAAGTTTAAGGATCTGTGGACTGACTGACTCCAAGACAGCGCAGTCTTCTCAGAAGTCGCTGTGAACCTTTGTGACATTTAACTGGACGTCCATAACAGCGCCGAGGTGTTTAAGAGCCTCCACAGTTTCAACATGTTGACCATCGAGTGAAACGGGGTCTACTGTCAGATCTTGTTTTGTACAGAAAACCAACTCCTTTGCTTTAGAAACACTGATTTCTAGCTGGCTGTCGAGGCTTTAATGGGAGCAAGATGGGAGGTCTCACCAGAGGAGTCAGCCAACCAATGCCATGTCATCTGCACACTTAATCCATTTGAGATTACCATCACTGGGTGAACATTCATGAGTAAATAAGGAAAAGAGCCGAGGTGAAAGAATGCTGCCTTGTGGGACGCCTGTGCTTATGACTGAGTACCAATAACACAACAAGAGAGAAAGCCTCTGATCCAAAGACTCAGGTCCTTCTCAATATTTAGATCAGCCAGCCTTTTCAGTATGGAGCTAAACTGAAATCTACAAACAAAACCCTTTAGGACGTGTTAGCTGCTTGGAGACTGAATCTGTCAGAGTGAGTATGGCGTCGACTTACTGGAGTGCATCTGAAACACCAGGAGACCCACCAGAACCTTCTCTGTTGTTTCACTCAGGATGGAGGTGAGAGCAATGGGATGGAAATCTTCAGGCTCACTTGCAGCTGCCCTCCAGGCTTTGGCTCCCCTGTGACAAGGAGAGAACTAAACAGCCTCCAGAAGGTACAATCCGCACAGGTTCAAAACTAACAAGATGATTCCAGGTTAATTTGNAAACCACAAGCTAAGCAACCTGTTTACAGTCATGGATTTTAAAATTGCCAGGTGTAACAAAGCTGCAGAAAAT